TATACACGATATAAGTGTTGACAGCGGTTTGCGGTGCTGCCAAAGGAATATCCGGAGGTTGTACTGACTACCAACCAGCAAACGGCTCTAGAAGAGGCGATACTGGACGAAGTAGTAGCGAGCGGATTGCGACGCAACGATCCACAAAGTGTGGGTCAGCTGCGCTTTGCGGGGATACACTTTAGGGTAAGCATGATCCTCATAGATTGTGCATCTGAAAAATCGGCGGATTGGTTGGTAGAAACGGCACCTAAGCTAAAAAATTGGCAGGGGCCGGGACTGGTTCCAATGAGGGGAGAAAACATCCCTAAAGGGACAACCATCACGGTCATTCTGCCAAGAAGCAAGGGGAAAGACACCACCTACCTGCTAGACCTTATGCAGGCTCAGAACGAGAATGTGAGTACATCGAGCTGGCGAGTCCTCAACTCGAAGGAGGAGGGCCATGGTCAGGTCCTCAGAATAGGAATTGACCTCAAATCCAAGGAGGCAATAGAGAAAGAGGGATATAACCTCTATTATAGATTCGGGACGGTACAGATATCTAAACTTTCTATAGAATGTCTATAGAATCAATTTTTTTGGAGCATCATATTTAGCAAGAAGCAAGCGAATTCCACTTGTGATGATGACTTGTGGAGAAGAGTCAATCTTTTTGAATACGTCTGCGCACACATTACTGTTGAAGTATCATTTGCAGATTACTACTCAGATTAAAATTCTCCCAAAATCAACAATAATCCGTTCGACTATAATCATTACCAAGAGCACCGTTTTTTTAGGGCCTACTAGGCCACGTTAAAAAAAACGCGCCAAGTACACTACCTCACAGGTGGTGCGGAAATGTGTGCATATTATGAAAAATAGGCGTTTTTCAACTTTTGAAATCGCCATATCTCAGGAATGGTGGTTCGTAAGAAAAAAGTATTAGAACCATTATTGTAGAAAATTTAATGGTCTACTCTCAAAAAAAGCAAAAAACATATTTTTGACTTTTGACCTTGAATAATTTTTTTTATTAGCAGACGTGGGAGGGTGGGGATTTTTCAGATATCATTTATAATAGCGTATTCAAGTACCTGTACCAATGTTCAGCTCTATGCGAATTATTGTTATTTAACCCCCTTTTTTTGTTTATTTTGACTGGGGTATAAGGGGTAAATAGGACGGGATTCCCATTGGTGCTCTAAGGTTGAGACCAGAAAAGGCTAGTCATTTATCTACCTACGCATCCCTTTGACCTGGTTCCGCCATCATAGAATTTAGGTTTTTGGTGAGATTGTCTCCTCGTGGTCCTGGCGGTTAAGTCAAGATTTCCCCCACATTCGCTGTCCGTGGGAGATGACCACAGAGAGTAAACTGTGTTTGATATATCGGACAGGGTAATCCCATCCAGGGCATCCTTATACCTCGCTTGGTGCAATTCCCTGGCCACGACAATACAGCCAGATGGTCTTTAGACCCAGCCAAAGTGCTAAAAGGATTTCCCTCGGTAGCCGACTAGGAGCTTCCCCACCAACGGCAATGGCGTATCTCCTAGGGAAGATGGCCCTAAGTAACATAAATATACAATATTTTATTAAACGAATCCGAAAAAAAGCGACGTCAGGGATATCTTTATATTTTATATAAAAATCGCTGTCATTTTATTTGTAAAATTTTATTGTGTATGTCATTGGTCGTCATTTTCAAACCAACTGGACACTATTTTTTTCGATCATATGGTACAAGTTTAGTACAAAAATATATTGAATCATGTTCTGAAAGTACATTTGAAATGTATTATTATTGTCGTGAAAGTCTTAAATAAGAAACCTGATATACAGGGTGTTTCTAAAAAAAGTGCCATTGATTCAAATGAAATTTTAAGGGTAAAAGTTTCTATAAGTGCTACATATTTTAGTGCTAAAAATGTGTCGACAGATTCACCAGTGACGGAGATTGTCGGTTATCACTGGAATATTTTTCTAAAAAAAATATGTGCGCCACTGACTTTTTTCTTTTGTGTAGGCCATTTAATGCCGATTAAAAGTTGTATCTTGATATTATGTCGATTTTCTTGATGAGATAAACACAATTTTATTAATCACTATTATAATAATAATAAAATTAATTATTAGGTGCCCGGTGGCGTAGAGGTACAGACTCTCGTCTACCAATCTCAAGGTGTGGGTTCGAATCCCATACCCGGCATTTCATCAGCCGACTATTTTTATTAAAATAAAAATAGTTTGGGTACCTATGTCGACTCAGCCTTAAATGAGTACTTGGGATTCACAATCCTAAGGTAATAATAGGCGGTTGAAGCGTAGTGCTAGCCACATTACCTTCCTTGTATACCGAACGGCCCTAGCATGGCAAGCTGTACCTTATTGCTACTCCCAGCGTCAAACGCTATATATACGGGAGCTATTATTATTATATCATAAAATTAAACAATTATTATTTGATCTAATTTGTTATAAAATTTTATTAAAATGTATAATTGCTACCTACAGCACAATCAAAAAAATAATAGCATTTAGGATAATTAAAAAAGACTTATTTTTTAAAAGTTTTAACATCCTGTAACTTTAATAGTAGATATGCATTTCCGGACCCATGTTTATAAAAACTTATTTTCACATTTTTTGATGAGGAATCATTGAGTACTTATTTGGCATTTTGGCCAGTTATTGAAATTAATTTTTTTAAGAGTTGCTACTATTGCACGGATAGAAATATTCCCTTGAATTTCAAGAGTATGGGAATCTAACTCCATGAACTTGGAACAAAAATCTGTATCCTCTATTTAAAAGTAATTCCTGCAATGAAGTAAGCCTTATCTCTGTTAGAGAAATTAGTTACTTGTTCTAAAATAGCAGTACATCGACATACAGGGTGGTCCGAACTGTATTCCGGAAACTTAAAAAAAATGACTAAAAAAGTTCGTATTGTTACGTTTTCGTCGGTTCCGTGTGGATAGAAAGTCACAATTTATTTAAACACTATTTATTTAACACTAATTAACAAAAACAATAACGATAAAAGACTTATAGAACTATTTACAAACGATTTATAACTAAGAATTTATTTTGAATTTTAGCGCGTCAACTGCACTGGTATATTTATAACTGCCACCTAAATGTGTTTTAACTGTTTTGAAAAGAATCTAATAACTTTTCGTCCCTACCTGTATAAAACTACTGACTGAGAAAATTTATATATTTGCGTGACTTTTTACGTAAAAAATGTCTCTTGGTAAAAATCTCTACGAGCAACCGTTCTCAAGATATTTAGAATGGAAATAGTTAATACATGTCATTATTGACAAAAAATACATGTTGAGTAGATAATTATTTGACTGAAATAATAAATTTGGGAAATTTTTACTTTTTTAAATTAATCATAAATTTTTCTCCGAAAAAATGATGATAAAACAGACTTTTGGCACAAAAACATTTCAAATTTATGATTTCAGTATAATAACTATTTAGTCAACTTGTTTAATTTATGTCAATTATATCAATGATGATTATCAGGTACTGATAATTTCGATTTCAAATATCTCGAGAACCCTTCCTCGTGGCGATTTTTACCAAGAGGCATTTTTTATGTAAAAACTTTTGTAAATGTATATGTTTTTCTGAGTAGTTTTAAACATGTACGGACGAAGAGCTCTTACTCTTCAAATCAGTTAAAAAAAGTAGATTGCGCCCCCTACAAGTAGGAGTCATATTGACATCAAAATCAAATTTCTCATGTCAAAAAACTCCCAGACACCATTTTTTATCCGAATATTGACCTTACTTCAGAAATTATTTGGAAAAAATCGATATAAAAATGAAGATTCTACACCCTGTATCTCCGAAACTAAGCATTTTAGGTTATACATTTATACGAACTTTTTTACTTATTTTTATCTGCAGAGTATGTATTGGCGTAACTACAGTACAACCCCAAGTACTGCTGGGCACCTCCCAGAGAAATCCTGAATTATGACTCTTGGCTACGTATTAATTTTTATTTGCTTGTGATGCAGTAAAAATTACGTTTTCAAGTTTTGTTTAGTTAATATTATTTTGTTGTGTTCAAAAAATGAATTAATTTTTATTTTTTTTTAGAAAATTTGTAGGTATTTAAGTAATTAACACGGTTTGATAACCAAGTCTATGAAATTTATTGATAGGGAAATTCATGTAAATCTTTAATTCAAAAAATGTGTTTTTTTAAATTCTTTTTCATTTTTTAAAAAACAAAAACCCTAGGCCCCCCTGGGCTCAGCCCCAGGTCCCCCCACGCCCAACCCAGGATAAATTGCTAGTTACGCTAATGAGGGTATGCTGCCGAAGTTTCCGGAATACAGTTCGGACCACCCTGTATATGAAAGCCATATGGTCTTGGGACAAAGGTGTACTCTTGATTCAAGAAAATATTTTTATCAGTGTGGATTAAAGCATATAAAATTGCACTTATCTCAAGGAGGCCGAAATCGACAAAAAATCAAGGGTCAACTCTTAATCAGCATAATACGGCCTACATAACTGTTCTAACAAGAAAAAAAAAATCAGTGGTGCACAGATTTTTTAGAAATATATTCCAGTGATAACGCATCGTCCCTGGTGAAACTGTAGACACCTTTTTAGCATTAAAATATGTAATACTAACAGTAACTTTTACCCTCAAAATCTTATTCGAATCGTTAAAACCCAGGTTGCATGAATAAACTAACATGAGTAAACGTATATGGCAACATCCAAGTGTACTTGTGTGTGTGTGTGTGTGGTCCAAGTACACAACTCGCCTTAAAACACTTGGAAGAAAGATTTTGATCTCCTGTTAAGTTACGAAACAAAGCAGAATCGGATTTAAGTTGATATAGAAAATAAATTTTAATTTTACGTGAGGAATCTCCCCACGAGAAATGGTACATGTTTTTGAAATACCCTGTAGAGCTTCTACTGTAAACTAAGCTCCCATAGATTTATTCTGAATAATGGTTATATATTTCGTACACTTAGGTGCCATAGCTGGAGGAAACTGTTGCATCATAAAGCCATCTGAAGTATCTTTACGCACTGCTCAAGTAATGTGCAACAAACTGCCTCACTACTTAGATCAAGACTGCTTTCCAGTTTTTCTTGGTGGCATTCCAGAAACGACCGATCTCTTAAAACAGAAGTAAATATTTTACTACTATAAGTTTAAAAAATGGCGGTGTAACTATTTATATTTTAGATTTGATTATATATTCTTTACTGGCTCTCCGCAAATTGGCAAAATCATTCATGCTGCAGCGGCCAAGAACTTAACGCCTTGTACATTGGAACTCGGAGGAAAAAGCCCAACATATATGGATTCAAGTGGTAAAGATTAAGTTTTTTCCTGATTTTTAATTGTTAATTTCTATGAGATTCATTAACTAATTAGCGGAAAAGTTGGCGCAGAAAAGTTATTTGTTAGTGCTAATCGTCAAATTATGTGCTATTACGATTTTTACATAATGACTCGGAGCTAACTTAACATAAGTGTTTTATGTGCTAATGTTAAAATTAGGAAAATAAAATAAGAAAATCGGAAACCAAATCGAAGCAACCAATCTTAATATCTGCAAATTAACATTTTTAGTAATTTTATATCTATTTGTTAGTTTTGTGATGTTGATAATATTAACGTCAATTGCCCGCTAAATTAATATGATAATAGATTCTTTTTTTTTCGCTGGAGCATTTAGCTTGATAAACGAGCATTGAAGTAAAACTTAAGAACACCTATTTCTTTGTGATATTGATAATTTTAACTTAGTTTTTGATTTTTGTTCTTTACTCCTACTAGGCCAGTAAACGTAGCCGAGTATTATATATAAAGGTGGATAAAATTAGTAACCAACCAAACTCAATGGGAATATGTAGATAATGATCTCCTATCACCCCTCAAAAGTCCCATTCGGTGCCAGCGGGGGAAAGTTTGAAAAACGGTTTTTTTCAAACTTCCCCCACTGGGACCCCCATCTTGAATTTTTTCGTTTTTTTAAATATCTCTGTAAAACTTTTTTCGAAAGAACTAAAGATATGTTTTTTGTTGAGAATTAAATTTATAATATCTTATTATACCTTCTTATTCTTATATACCTTCCATCATTTTTTTTTTCTAAAATAAATAATAATAGAGATAGAGCAATTTTTTACTATACGTTTTATAAATTTTCCAGTTTTTTTTAACCCAATCAGTTATAATTTTTGCATTAACAGTATAGTGTTAATATAGATAAACTAAGTATAAATTTAAGTATTAAAATAATAAAAAATAACATTTAAATATTCTTTATTAACTAAAATTATTGTTAAGAAAATTATTAAATTATGTTATAAAATAAAATCTGCTTCGTCCTCAACTAAAATACAAAAGTTTGTGCAGCTGATTCCGTAGCACTAACTACCTATACTTTGAAGAACATTTCATACCCAGTTTTATACAAGAGCAATTTTTAGAGCAATGACTCTCTTTGCAATTGTCAAAAATTAATTTTAGTAGGTCAGGAGGCGCCACATCTTCTGTTCATTGAATATGTGTCAGATTACCTTTTTGATCTTTCTTCCATCTATATTGTAATGGATATAAATTGTTACCAATCCATTCTTGAATCTAAAAAATACAACTTATAACACTTTCTATGATAGTTATATCTTTACAGTTACCTGAAAATATGTCCTGAGTAAATGGAGTTTTGCAGAGTTCTCTGTTGGAGGCAAATTAGCTTAATTAAAGGTAGTCTTATGGGTTTGTCTTGATGTAATCCTATTGTATAGAATGCATCTCAGACGGTTAATATGTTTAATATAGCTTGGGCAATGATATAAATTTAAAAGATAATTTAATCCTAACTGAAACAAGTCATCTTTGTTAGCATTTATTTTCTAAAAATACGTCGTGGTATTGGGATTAAATTATTTTTAAAGCTATATCACTGCCCAATCCATATTAAACTTATTAACCATCTGAGATACACTCTATACAATAGGATTACATCAAGAAAAGCTCTTAAGACTATCTTTAATTTAGCTAATTTGCCTCCAACTGAGAACTCTGCAAAACTCCATTTACTCAGGACATACTTTCAGGTAACTATAAAGATACTCTTATATCTATTATAGGAAATGTGATAAGTTGTATTTTTTAGACTCAAGAATGGATTGGTAACAAGTTAGATCCTTTACAATATGGATGGAAGAAAGATCAAAACGGCAATCTGACACCTATACAATCAACAGAAGATGTGGCGCCTCCTGACCTACTAAAATTATTTTTTTGCAATTGCAAAGATGCTCTAAAAATTGCTCTTGTAGAAAACTGGGTCTTAAATGTTTTTCAAAGTGTGGACGGAATCAGCTGCACGTTTGTAATAAATACAATAGTTTTATTGTATTTTAGCTGAAGACGAAAATGACGCTCAGGATGACGGCACAGCAGATTTTATTTAATAACTTTAATTTAATATTATTTTTTTTTTACAATATTTTTATTTAATAAATAATATTTGAACGTCATTTTTAATTGTTTCAATGCTTAAATTTATACTTGGTTTATCTATATTAACACTATATTGTTAACGCAAAAATTATAGCTGATTGGTTTAAAAAAACTGGAAAATTTATAAAACGTAGAGTAAAAAATTGCTCTATCTCTATTACTATATATTTTAGAAAAAAAATTATTGAAGGTAAAATATTCTAAATTTAATTCTCTACAAAGAACACATCTTTAGTTTTTTCGAAAAAAGTTATACAAACGGATATTTGAAAAAAACAAAAAAAGCCAAAATGGCGGCGGTTTTTTCAAACTTTCCCCATCACTGACTGGGACCGAATGGGACTTTTGAGGGGTTAAATAGGAGATCATTATCTACACATTCCCGTTGAGATCGGTTGATTACTAATTTTTTCCACCTCAACCTCCAGATTGACTGGCACATGGCGCATAGGGCTTCAGTAAATGCTCTCCAGCTTGAAATTGGTTTAACATTTTGCCATGATCGGTTTACTGTTTCTTAAAAAAATTAACATTGGTTTGCATCTAATAAGGAATAGTATTATAACAGGGCATTTAAATTGTACTTAAAAATCACTTTAATAACACCTATTTCTTTGTTTTCAATAATTTTGTTAATTTTAATTTTGTTCCCTGCTAACTTAATATGATAGACCTTATTTTTTGCCAAAATACTTAAATTGATAATAGGGCACTAAAATAGAACTTAAAGAGAATATTTAGAACACCATCGCAACGATCACAAATTTTTCCTTGGGATGATAATTTGAACGTTGTTTCGTTGTTAACTTTAATACATACCGGGTCACCGGGTGCGTCTCAAAAGCGGCTTACCCCTATAACTTTTTTATTTTTTCAGATAAAAAACGAGATTTGGTATGTTACTATATGATATAAATCAGGATTGATTGACGTATTCAATTGTTTTTGGTCACTTCCTGTTTCACCGCAAACGACTACAACTTTTGATTTTTAAATGGCACAGTTCAGACACACTCGCTATATTTCTACTTTATTCGAGAGAAAATGACACTCTGAATAGAATCATATGTCAACTTATGACATTTTTACATATGGTTTATTTGAAATTGTAACATGCGGTCTCTAACGACAATTTGACTCGAAATACCAAGTGTGTACTACAAAATTATCCGTAAAAAAATGCTTTTTCTTCACTTCAATGTACAATTTCAAATAAACCATATGAGAAAATGTCAGATATGAAAAGATGACATATGATATGTGTCATTCTATTTAGAGTATCATTTTTTCTTGAATAAAGGAAGTGACCAAAAACAATTGAATATACGTCAATCAATCCTGATTTATGTCATATTCTAACGTACCAAATCTGGTTTTATGTTTTATCTGAAAATAAAAAAGTTATAGGGGTGAGCCACTTTTGAGACGCACCCGGTATTAAGTTAGAACCATCAAAATACACACAAGCACTTAATTTGGTAATGAGGTATTTGAATTGCAAATAATGTTTTTGTAATTTAGCAATAAGGCACTTAAGTATAGCACTTAAAAGTCCTTAATTTTGAAACTGAATTAACAAATTGAAATTTTTAGGCGGAACTTTTCCGCTGCTAAATGTACTGTACTTGTTTTTATAAAATTAAAGAATAATATTATATTTCTAGCTAATATTGAAATTGCTACAAGAAGAATTTTATGGGGAAAATTTGCCAATTGCGGCCAGACTTGCGTTGCTCCAGACTACTTGCTTTGCGACAAAGAAGTCGAACGAAAATTTTTACATTATGCCGAGAAAATTATAACTGAATTTTTTGGAGCAGATGTTAAGCAGTCTAAAGATTTTCCCAGAATTATAAATGAACGAAATTTTATTAGGTTTGTATAATATAATGTTAAAATATTCAGTTTATATTATCGAATTAACTAGCTGATCCGGCAAACGTTGTTTTGCCATATAAATTATTCCTAGGATTATTCCTAATATTATTCATAGGATTATTCCTAGGAATATTTTAGTAGAAAAAAATAACTAAAAATTTGTCAATGTATAAATTTATTTTAAAATAACACTGAAATAGTGAAATTGTAATTCTAAACGTCATTATTGCGATTGATGCGTAAACAATAAAAATAATTGCCGAAAACTGTAGAGAGTGATGGTTTATTGTGTCAGAGAGATATCATCCCTACTCCGTGCTGTTGACTGGATCAGAAATGACACCGGTAGACTCCTGACGGGGAACTGATCAAGTGATAATTGATCAGTTATCGACCAGGGTTGAAAATTATTAAACTACTATTATTGCTATTAAATAAAGGGGTTGGTGGCAGAAGGTTGAAAATTTAGGGTTGTATGTATTTTATAATGCCACATCATTAAAAAATAAAAATAAAAAAAATTGGGATGGACCACCCTTATTACTTAAGGGTATAAAAATAGATAACAACCTATTCTCAGACCTACTGAATATACATGCATATAAAATTTTATCAAAATCGGTGAAGCCGTTTTGGTGGAGTATGGTAACAAAAACTGTAACACAAATTATTGAATTACTAATATCGCTATTAAGAAATAAAGTTGATAGTTGATGGTAGAAGGGTGGAAATTTAGGGTTGTATGTATTTCCTTAATGCCACATCATAAAAAAAATTGTCCAAACATTAAAAAAAATTGGGGTGGACCACCCTTATCAATTAGGGGTATAAAAATAGATAACAACCTATTCTCAGACCTACTGAATATACATATAAAATTTTTCCAAAATCGGTCAAGCCGTTTCGGTGGAGTATGGTAACCAAAAGTGTGACACAAATTATTGAATTACTAATATCGCTATTAAAAGAGGGGGTTGATGGTAGAAGGTTGAAAATTTAGGGTTGTATGATGTATTTTTTAATGCCACATCATCAAAAAAATAAAAATAAAAAAAATTGTCCAAGAAATAAAAAAAAATTATTTAAAATTGAAAATGAGTTTCCATCTGCCAATTATACGAGGGAAAATAAAATATTAATATTTAGGTGAAGGTTTGAAACACCAGGCATGGTTTGCATGTAATAATTACGAAAAAATGCTAGTGTCTTCTTTAAAAGGGAATTTCACCAAAACAAATAGAGCTATTGAGATGAACCAAAAAATAAACTATCGAGAAATGATGCGCCTAGATGATAACATTATTTTCAAATTCCTTGCTTTTTTAACATATTCGTAACTCTGTAACTACTTAAAATTTTAAATGTTTCTAAACGTGCATGAATGCACATCTTTGCCCTAATCTGACCATCCTTATATCTCAAGATCAAGATCCCAATGTCATTCAAGATCAAGATCCTAATATCCCCCGCCCTCTCATTTAAGATCAAGAACCCAATAGTGGAGGTCGAATTTGAATTAACCTATACGGTTATCGCAAAACATTTTCCGATGCCCGTCATCAATCATATCGACACTGACACGAAAGCCTATAAACCTGACTAAATGAAATTTTGGGAAAAATGTTTAAATTTGTTGTATAATTATTTAAGATACCTAGCAGCTCTTCGATTTACTTTATACAGGGTGTCCCAGAAATGAGTGCAGATATTTTAAGAGGTGGTAGATCTGGTCAAAATAAACATATTTTCTCTTTACCGTTTTTAAAATAAATTGAAAATAACTGAGTTATTTAACTTTGAAAATTTAAAAAAATAATCGCTACATTTTGAGAACCGCCGGCAGATATTGCCAACTACATCCAATTACCCGGATCAAGCCCGGATTTCAGTTAATTCGACGCACTGTGTTGCCATATGGACAAGAAAGTATATGTTTACAAGTAAGTCATAAAATCACAACACCTGAGGAGTTTGCAGAGATGCATTACATTTTTAAGATTGTGATATTTACATAAAATAAATTAAAAGTTAAATGTTTAAAAGTTAAATTAAAAAAACTTACCCAACATTAAAAAAGATACTTATTACAGATCGATGTAACTGCGACAGTTCTCTTTTTCGATACACACTTAACTAAAATACACTTCATTGTGCTGCTTTACTTGTACGTGCTATTATAAAAACTGCTAAAATAACAGTCCCCATTTTTAACTTAACACATTATTTTCGTATAGGCTTCATCACAATTTGAACCACTGATTTACAAAACACCTTGAAAAGCACACATTACACATTACTTTGCATATCTTTCTGAATGAATAAATGTTGAGAATTATTGTCTCTTACCGCCACTTTACGAACTACTTTCAATCTAAGAAAATACATGTTTCACTCAACAATTTTAAATACGTATTTTGCTTTTTCGCTATTTTTTCGATGTATTTCGACAATTCCGTCAACAGCCCAACCACCCGTCGGCCAAGACAGCCACGCATTACTGGTTGGTAACTGCTCACTGCTTCTTTGTCGCGCCGGCGTGTCGAGCTTGCGTCATGCGAGGTTGCCGTAGTTTCAACAATTTCAAATTCAAGACACTGAAGCAATCAAATTTATTAAATTTTAAAAATAAACAGAAAAACATGAAAGGAAACAAACAAAACACAAATGAATTGATTATTGATAAGGTCACAAAAAAGAAATTTTTAAATTGTTTATCGTAATTCAGAATTCAATATATCGAAAACAGCCCGACGAATAATCAATTCATTTTCGTTTTGTTTGTTTCCTTTCATGTTTCTCTGTTTTATTTTTAAAATTTAATACAAATTTGATTGCTTCGAATCTCTTGAATTTGAAATTGTTTGGTTTGGTTGGTAACTACGGCAACGTTGCTTAACATCGTCGTCTGACGCAAGCCTGCCACGACGGCGCGGCTCAAAGGACCAGTTCACACGTGGCACTCTTGGCCGACACGCGACGGTCGGGCTGTCAAAATACATCGAAAAAATAGCGAAAAAACAAAATACGCATTAAAATTGTTGAGTGAAACATGTCTTAAATTGAAAGTAGTTCGTAAAGTGGCAATAAGAGACGGTATTCAAAGTAATGTGCGCTTTTCAAGGTGTTTTGTAAATCAGTGGTTCAAATAAAACAGAGAAACATGAAAGAAAACAAATATTGAATTCTAAATTACGATAAACATTTTAGGAATTTCTTTTTTGTGACCTGGTTGTGAACAATATGATGAATCATTTTCGTAAACGTCATAAACGTAATGTTTTAGTTAATTTTCGGTGGTTTTTGTTAAGTTTTCATTGAAAGGGTAAGTACTAAAAATAATTAATGTGTTTTTTTTTCTATAATAATTATTAATAATGAGCACTGATGAAAATTTAACATTCTTAATTTTTGAGTAGAAATTTTTCTATGAATTTATAAATGTAGAACTATGTAGAATGTGGATAACATAGGAGGTTACAACACTGCAAGGTTTAGATACACCGTAGAGAAATCTCAGGTGAATAAACAAGTGGCTCTAAAAAGTTTTTTCAAATTTCCCGGAAAATGTCAAGAAAAATTTTAAATTTTCAACATTTTTTTTTCGCAAAAAAAACCTCATAGGCGTGTTTCTGGGGTTGAACTATACTACCAGTTAAAATATTTGCACTTATTTCTGGGACACCCTGTATGTGTGGATAAAAAACACTTTCATTAAAAGAGTAAGCTCTAACTAAACATTAAAGGTTATAATTGTTTATTGAAACGATTGAAACTATTTCTTAATATGGGGAAAAAAGAAGCTATAATTGTTAAGATTTATTTTTTCAGTTTACTCCACTGTAAAAAGTATTTAAAATATTGCGCGTTTCTCTAGAATTAGTAGAGCAATCTACACTAATATGAATAAAATGAATTTTCGTATTTTTTTCTGTAGCAACTTAAAATAATTGAATTTATAGATAAACATGCAGAATGTGGGTCTGGTAGGAGGTGGCAACGTTGCATTCTCTCCGACACTTTCTATGCCCGGTAAACGAATTTCCCGGGGAGTGAACAGTGGCACTCAAAAGTTTTTCAACATTTTCCGGAAAATGTCAAGAAAAATATAAAATTTTCAACATTTTTTTTTCGCAAAAAAAACCTCATAGGCGTGTTTCTGGGGTTGAACTATACTACCAGTTAAAATATCTGCACTCATTTCTGGGACACCCGTATAACAAATTATTGTAACAGATATTTTATTTAGATTAAATCTGCAAAAATTAGTTTAAACCATATTTTATTACCGCTATGTTGGTCATATTGTGCCGTGTTCACAACGTTGTCGTTTATTATTTGACAATTATCCTAATGTCAGTCATTATTTTGTACAATATCGTGTTGTTGTTGAATCTTTGTGAGTAATTCTCGTTATTTGCCTATTTTCATAGTCTTTTTTTTAAAACTGTACTTTTGCACAAACAGTTCTTTTAAGAACTAAATTTTCGAGTTTTGTATTGCATTTCTTGAAACTGTGTGTTGAAAATATGCCGAAGCATTTAAACAGTCGAAGCAAAGAGCTTGTAGCTTCCCTGATAAACTATTTTGAACGAGAACGTAACAATAAAGGTCCTTTATTACCCTTGACTGCAGTCAGAGAAGTAAGTTTGATTGATAAGCACATTATACCACTTTCAAAGACATTTCTCCGTTAGTTTGTATGTGTGTTTTCTGTGATTATTAGTTTGTGCATTAATAGCACCCTCTTACTTGTTATTACCACTTATGGCGTTGTAAGATGTACATCAGTAAATAAATAAATAACCAATAATAACGCTTAGAATAATCTTCATAATGGGCTAGTTTTTGCTAATACGTAATAAGTAAAATAAGCTATAAAAATCAATTAATTAGTAATATACTAGTTATTAAATTTAAAATAAAACGTACAAATTTTAAAAATGATATAATAAATATATTCTTTGTCAATTTGAAATTAAGAATCATCTCATAAATCCATCTCAATCTGGCAGCGCTGCCGCCATCGCTTGTCACTCAAAGTTGATCGCGTGCATCGGAAATTGTTTTGCGATTACCGTAAATCTACAATTTTTTAAAGCGAACTCCATTCTTTTCTGTTTTCTAGAGTGGTAAATCTTCTGAAAAATCAAAAGAAAGCTATTGGAGGACAGATTGATGCTCAAGATTTATTTATTCATCCAACGATTTTAGTAGATGTTAAACCAGACGACGATATAATGCAGGAAGAAATATTTGGCCCTATCCTACCAATAATCACCGTAAATAATCCTGAAGAAGCAATCGAATTTATCAACGCCCGAGAAAAACCTTTGGCTCTTTATGTATTTAGTAATCACACAGCTACAAAAGAGCTTTTTTTGAGCAATACCTCAAGTGGCGGTGTTTGTATCAACGATACCATAATGCATGTAGGGGTGGAAACATTACCATTTGGTGGAGTAGGAAATAGCGGCATGGGAAATTACCATGGAAAACGCAGTTTTGATACATTCGTACACAAAAAATCGGTTCTATTCAAATCTTTTTTTTCTTTGGGTGAAAAAGCCCAAGAAACGCGTTACCCTCCTTACTCTAAAAATAAAACTGATTTTACTAGGTTTGCCATTCGATCTCTGAGTCGTAGCATTAAAATGCCCTTTGTGACGCATGTCATAATGTTTAGCCTCGGTGTAGGGGTAACCATAATGACTTTCTATACTTATAAATATTATAAACAAAGGGAATAACTTTGGTAAAGTAAAATATTTAAAAAAGGCTAGTGGCTTATAATATAGCGGAAATAATTTTCAGTTGCTGTGAAATTTTAATTTAAAGGTATTAGTAACTATGTATAGATGTAGATATTACATTGTAAACTACTCAAAACAATTATCGCATATTTTCTAAAAAAAATATTAATTTGAAAAACAAGACTGACTTCACAGTTTTAAATAATTTGGATACTGCGAAGGGAAATTCGAAACAATAAGTCTACGCGTTTACTTGTAATAATTTTTAGTCGGCCGACTATTTAGTTGCAAAAGTGTAAACAATACATACTTATGGAGCTGATCAGCCGACTATTTGATTGCCGATACGTTGATTGCATGTGAGCGCGGCTTCATCGAAATATATTGGTTACAAATATGCAACTAAATAGTCGGTCGATTAAAAATTCCCTGTCAGCGTATAGAATAAGGCTACGCAATGCAATAAAATATTGGGCCGATCGGCTCCATGCAAATGTATTGTTTTCACTTTTACAATAGGGGGCCGACTAAAAATTGCATGTCAGTGCGTAGGTACCCTAATTATCCTAAAAAAAACTCACAAGAGAAAGACAGAAAAATGCATGCTTTATTTAAAAATATGTAATAATTATTACTTTTATTCAAATATGTGATAATTGTTTTGAGTAGTCAATTAACTATATGAATTACATAATTCACAGGGCATTTTTAATTATATTTAATCGTTAACTATTATACCTTTTGATACGTACCGTGGTTGGTACACTTATAAGGTTAAATAAATATTGTTACTATATTATTATGCGTTTTTCTTATAACCTTAATTAAAAATGAGAGAGACCAAAAAATAAAAACGCTTTAAAAAATACTCATCATCACACGTCCACCTCCTCCCTATCCCATATTTGCGGGAATAGTATGTGAAAACTAAATTAAAACGCATAAAGAGCATAGTCAAAACAGTTTTAATAACACAAGCACAAATATCATACCCTGCTGGCAAACGAAACCTTAGGTCGGCGTTTACATGTATAGAAGTGAATCGCTATGGCAATCTAGTAAGTCGGAGAGAGCAAAAGTACGAAGTATTTATTACATAGCCACTAAAGGTTGATTCTCACTGTACCTTCCGTTTCCATTCCATATCCATTCCGTATTTTTTATTGTATTGACGCTATACGTAAGCTTCCGTTCCGTATCAGTTCCATACTTTTTATTGTACAATTTATACCATTATGAAAGTTTTATTTTAAAAATTTGTATCTTTTGAAAAAGGTATAAGATTTAATTAAGAGGTGAAAGAATCAATAAATATTAGCAAAATGTTAACAGAGCTGGAACAAATGTAAGAACTTGACAACGCTCTTTCCGATACGCTTCACTCTGTCCGTCAAAAAAATGTATGGAAGGAAAGGATATGGAATGGAAGGGAAACGGAACGGATAGTGTGCATTGTCCTATTCATTTACATGATATAATATTTTATGTAAACGGAAGGGAGCTGATATGGAAGGTATAGTGAGAATCAACCTTTAATATAATCTGACGCTAGATTCCATGCGCTTGGGAAAATACTTTTCTCCTGTCTTTATTCAGTACATCTTATTTTGCTAAGAGTCTTCACCGTACTCTTCGTACACATGAAAATGTCTACCCAAGACCAGAAATGCCAGCCCTACTATAAACATAAACTAAGGTATATAATTACTAAAATAATATAAATGAAAAATGAAGGAAAATAATTAGACATATAAACGAACAAAGCTAAATCCAAAAATGTGATGGAATAATATTAAGCATAAAGATTGTATTTTTTTACTTTGTGAACTTTATAAAATTTGATTTTATAATTTGATTGCTGCTTTCCGTGATAGTACAGGTGGCCCGTCTCATACAATGCGGAGGTTTCAAGGAGAATGGCAGTTTATATCTAAATGGAATTTTGGGAGGTTATGGGGGTAGGTTAATTGAAAGCAGTTATAAAAATATATACAGGGTGTCACCAAAAAATGCTACGTATCAAGTTAGAATTTACCCTGTATAGACAAATATTTAGTTAAAATAACCATTGTATATTAAACTAAATTAAAATTTGACCAGAAAAGTTATACAGGGTGAGACAAATTAATATTGAATATTGATCACTTTTAAACACAAGTTACTTTATTTTAAATGGAACACCCAGTATATTATTCCGCTATTCAATGGAGAATGTGTGTTGTTCATTCATCTCCAAAATACTATAAAGTTTCCCTATCCCTTAAACAATGATTTTCCTAGATATTATTACGTTTTTCGTCAGTTCTCTGTGGATAGAAAGTCTAATTTATTTAAACACAATTTTTTTACACTAAGTAACAAAACAATAACGATACAACTACTTAAAGAACTATTACAACTTATTTACTATTTATCTCACTATTTATTTAAAAGAAATTTATTTTGAATTTAGCGCTGCAACTGTACACGTCGACCGACTCAGACAAGGAAAGAGAGGGGATAGCTAATACGCATATTCTCCAGTGAAAAATTTTTGAGGCCAAAATTTGATCGGCGGCCATACTTTGGTGACAAGATTTCGAGGTGACACCAAACGAATTTTTATGTTTTTTGTGAATACTGTTTTGTTTTAAATTTATAAACTGTGTTGTTTAGTATGGTGAGATGTTCGGCGTATGGCTGCAAAGGCTGAAACGAGAAAAAAATGACTGGAGTTACATTTTACAGGTAAAAGTTGATACACAACTTGTGCTATGTAGTCATAAAATTACATTTTTTTCATTATAGTAGTAAAAATATGTAAAATGCTTTTAATATGTATTGTACCACATCCAAAGCAAACTATTTTTATTAATTCCAAGTAGTATTTTCAATATCCTATATTATAATTAATGTTTGAAACTATAAATAATGCTACACAGACAGGATTTCTCCAGTGGCGTAGGGTATTATAATCAGAGAAATCCAATTTCTACAATAAATCTTTTTTTATATATTTTACACGTAAAAATGTGTAATGTAAAAAAATTTTATGTCATTTTATATGTAGAATTATATGGGGAATATCATCGATCGTCATTTCCAAACAAACAGGATGCCGTTGTTTTTCGATCATACGGTATATATGTATATACATGTTTAAAACATATATATTTACATTATTTTTTATTTAATTATACATTATACACACGTTAATAAATAAATAATTGTCTTGATGATCAGTTCACTGTGACTGTTAAATAAATTTTGCATTATCGGCTTAGATATTCTAATATTATAAAGGTGAGACTATAAAATACAAAATTGTATATGCATTACTCAAAAATAAACGATATATTAGTTAACGTTTTAATAAATATTTTTTATCGTCTAGGTAGTATTAAGCTAATTTCTGATGCTACGCCATTGGAGAATTTCGCGTGGTGATAAGTGGCCACACTTTCAGCTGCCGTGTTACCTGTCTCCTCTCTTTCCTTGTCTAAGTCGACAGATCTGTTTCTGTCTTCCTCAGGCCCCAGGCGCAGGCGTCGGCTTATATACCCACAGCTAAACAGTTCTCGAATAGCCATTAGATCATTCGGTGCATAGAGAAGGTTTAGAATATTCTCGTATGTACTCCACCATTCCAATGGAACTCGATTGTTTTCGTACGTTTGAATGAATCATTACGGTGTCTATTCTTTAATACGATATTAAGGTTATATGGGGGTGGGACATATTAGTTAGGTTAGGCCGAGTCCACACGGGTCAGGGCCAGTCAACTGAGATATACGACCTTGAACGATCTTTTTTTGGTGTAGTAATTTCCTGGGGCGCTAGATGGCGTATTTTTTATTTTAATTTTTCTAGTTGCCTTACAATTGCGTACAAAATTGTTTTTATAGTTGCCTAAATAGGCCTATTAATTATGTTCTGTCATTTTTCTGTATGTCAAATCAGTTTTCCGTTTCCGGCTTCCTCCTTCCTCTTCAGTTGTGTTTTGCAATTGAACGGAGATGTGCGTTTCGCTGTTTGCTGGTTGTTTGGCTGTGTTTTTTGCAATCTTCATTTTAAAATCGTGATTTTGTATTTTTGAATTTTTTTGAACTTTGTTTTGTGTTTGATTTTTAAGATCTCTATTAAAGGTAAGGTTTAAGTTAAAGGTTTTTGATTTATCTAACAATTTTATTTAATAATCCGAGAAAGCGAGGTGAGGTAACCTAACCAAGTCCAAATGTTCGTGAATTTTATTTTTTAACAATGTAATATTTACAACGCCATATATTTTTACAAAAAAAATTGATCAACTCCATATTTTTGTACATAAACTTCACAATATGATATTACACAATTGTTCAAGTCCATATGTAAAAAATACACATAAATAAAACATTGTTTCTAATGGACGTCACTTTCTCTTGTATTCCAACGATATTTGTTATGTGTTCTTAAATCTGGTACTATAATAAATATTATACTTTTTAATCTGTTGTTTTATTTGTTTGTAAAATGTTTCATGGTATAATTTTCTGTAAATTAAATTAAATTATTTATTGTAGGTTTTTATGCACATAAAATGATATAAGCAAACCATTTAACACTTTACAATAGTTTAACCTGGTTTAACCTTTATATATAAATCCTTGTTTTTTACCATTTGACTTGTTTGCCAACTTGGGACCAATCAGATGACTACACATTATTTTGTAGAAATCTGATTGGCTCTAACTGGCGAACAAGTCATACGTCTTGCTTAAAAATAAATTGCATCTATTTAGATTTGCCGCCACATTTGTTACTTTCCTGGGTGGCTAGATGGCGCCACTTCAATATACAGATTACAGATTTCTTTACAAATTTGAAACCGTTTTGAAACTAAAAAATGCATGGGAGTTAGCGTTCTTCTTTAGTGTGTTCTGTGACACGGGTCCGCAACAATATTTTGATGATTTTGCGTCAGTATATATTTATTATTTAATAAAATCTAGGGGGCTGTGATATATACCTTTCGTTAATTTAATAAAAATTAAAGGATGTAGAGTAAAATATTCAACGGTAATAAAAAGATGACAAGTCACATTTAAAACATATTTTAATTATTACAGAATTAAAACTAGATATAAAGGTATAATTATGTGACAAAAATTAACTAGATGAAATCATATACTCAAAATGCGTCCTTTCCTGTTCTCTGCATAACATTATTTTGTGGAGTTCTACTTCGAAAAGCAGTCACAATCATTTTCCTCATGCTGTTGGTCCTAATACAAGAATATGTAGGATGACTGGGTTGTTAGATGTGGTAGAAAGAATAACTGACTTGAAAATTTTAGGACAAATTATTTTAGTACAAAAAAATACATTTTTATAAAAATTAAAAATACTGTATTAATGTGAAGGTTGGTGCTGCTTTCTTGCAACTAAATTAGTAATATTCGGGTTGATGTTTTAACTTAGTTGTAATCTCAAGTAGTATTCCAATTGTATTCTGTTTCTTTATTTGTTTTTGATGTATTCAAGAGTAGAGAATGCATTTTCAGAGAGATATGTGGATGAGGAAAGCAGTAAATATTTCAGTGCTTCTTCTGATATTTCTTTATAATTTTTTTTTAAATTCACCCAAAAATTTGCTAAAGAAGTTTCTTTGAAATTATATTTTAAAGCTGAATCACATGATATTTCGGGATATTTCTATTAATTGATTTTCCTATGCCGTTGTCACGCCGTTGATGATCTGCGTTGAAAGGGTTTGCTATCCAGTTTTTATTTCTGCCGGGTTCTGAAAAATATTCCGGAAAAGATGACCTCAAACTACGGAGGTTACTTGCTTTGTTTTTACAACATTGTTTATAGATAAGATGGCGGACCCCCATACACATATTTGCCACAGGTTAAGAAACTCTGGGCTAGACAATTGAATGGAGGCCCAGGTAAGAAACATATCGTAGCAGAGGTCGTCCACGCACATGATTGTGTGACGATATTAAGTTGTTTGTAACAACCTGGATGATTGCAGTGAGATATCGCGAAGAATGGCAGAAATTAAAGGAGGCCCTTAGATTAGGTTTCATGTCCAGCAGTGAACACAAACTATGATAATAAATAAAACTCATAAGAATTTTTTTTTCAGTCTAGACTATTAAGGCTAATTTATTATATCTACTAATATAATATTTTTATAAGCATTATAGTTTATAGTTCCCAGGCATTACAGTTTATAGGGTGTCCCAGAAATAAGTGCAAATATTTTAACTGGTAGATTAGTTCAGCCCCAGAAACACGCCTATGAGGTTTTTTTCGCAAAAAAAAAATTGAAAATTCGGAATTTTTTGAAAAATTTTTTGGAAATTTTTTTAGTTTTTATATAAAAAACATAATGTCTTGATAATATAGCAATATAGGTAGTAGATTAAATTTACAAGAAAGAAAATCCTGAAAAGATCCAGTGGTTCTCAAAATTTAAGCAATAAATAATTTTTTTTTGGAAATTGTCAAAATAAAGTAACTCCGTTATTTTGGACTTATTTGAAAAACGATAAAGAGAAAATATGTTTCTTTTATCGAGATCTACCACTTCTTAAAATATTTGCACTTATTTCTGGGACACCCTGTATAGTTTATATTAGTTATACAGTTATACTTTTGTAAATGTTTTCTTTTATATTTACATCGTATAATAGCAAATATTAAATAAATTTAATTTACATCACTTTTAACTTAGTAATATCTTACGAAATTTAATTAGCAATAACATTTATTCATATTTTACACAAGATTTAAAAAATATTGTAACAAAAACGAAAATCCTACTCCGAGAAAAAAAATAAAACATCTCATTAGATATTTGCTGGACACAAGTTGTGTTCTTTTCTTCAATAATATATTAATTAGATTAGTTTTCTTATCTGAGTATGGAGGATATCTGATACTCAAAGTCAGTTCAGTTAAACGGGAGAAATTCTTGACCAGAACACCTTTCCTATGAGTGAAAGTGTCGAATCCGAATTTCCCATGATATGATCCAATACCACTCAAGCCTACTCCTCCAAACGGCAAATTTTCAGTTCCAATATGGGAAATTGTGTCATTGATAGAGATTCCTCCACTAGAAGTTTTATTTAAAAACGTATCTTGAGTCTTCTTGTTTTTGGAAAACACATAGAGCGCTAAAGGCTTCTCTCTAGAGTTAATAAAATCTATGGCTTCGCCTGCATCCTTCACGTTAATAATTGGTAAAATTGGACCAAATATTTCTTCTTCCATTACCAAACTGTGTGGACTAATATCGGTTAGTATAGTTGGTGCAATAAGTAGTTCTTTAGGATCCATTTGACCTCCAAGTGCTATTTTTCCTAGACTTATAAAATCCGATAATCTTTTAAAATGTTTTTCACTAACAATTCTACTTAAACTTTCAGATTTACAGGGGTTGGAGCCCCAAAAGGTCTTGATTACTTTTTTGGCTTCTTGTAAAAATTTCTCTTCTACTTGTTTGGAGCACAATAGATAATCTGGAGCCACGCAAGTTTGGCCACTGTTTAACATTCTACCCCATAATATTCTTCTTGCTGCTATATACATATCTACAGAGTCGTCAAGATAAAGTGGACATTTTCCTCCAAGCTCTACAAATTAAATTTCCAGTTAAGCATAGTACGATTAAAATATTTTTATAATCAAGCGCGCTTTGAATTTAACAAATGTGTCTTCATAATGAACTTTCTTGGCTATGATACTAAAAAATATTTTGATCATATTGTGTATTGTCTTTAACACGTGGAGTTAATGTAAACTAAACTAATCAGAACGATTTAGGGATCACATACAGGGTGTCTCAGGCTGAGCGTGCATTAGAAGTTTCTAGAGAACCAGAATATCTCCACAACGAGGTCTATCGATTAAAAATACTTTCATTATAGCGGCACTACCGGAAATACCGGAAGTCGACAGCAACTTTCATATTTTAAATGGGTGCCCCCATTTTTTATTACATACTTAAATTCTCTGTAAAATTTTATGAATTTTGATATTACACTGTATATATAACATTAACCGTTTTTGAGAAAAAAAAATATTTAAAATTTTTGAACAAAAAAAACTGCCTGTCAAAAATATGTGTATAGCCTAAACGTCAAATTTAGTGATTACCACAGCCACTGTGCTATAAAGAGAAAACATGTGGCTATCTATTTGAAAAATTAAATTGTTCGAATGTCATATAATAATGGCCACAGCTGTCATAGAATTGAAAGATTAAAAATTTATCATAAATCATTTTTTTTAATTGGAAACCCACTTTTTTTATTTCAGTACTGAAAATGCTCTTCAATTCGTCATTTTTTAAAAATACATGTTCCTATACCTAAAATAAATCGTTTTAAAGCGTATATTTTTCTTGATTTTAACCAGTAGGTAGCCTATGACTTTAAACGTCAAGTGATGTAAAACAATAGATCTGGCCATGTCATCACAATATGAAAACGCTTTGTTCAAAAAGCAGCATCATTACCGAGTCAGCTTTGCGCTTTTTTTTCGATCATAAGGAATCATAATATCAACTATTAGATATCGCTAACGAGCAAAAATACGATATATATTTTTATAAATAAACTTTTTAAACTTTTAAGCAGGCAGTATTTATAATATAGGAAATTCAAATAATTCGTTTTCTGACAGATGGAAATAAATTGTCTGACCGTTTGACACTTAATGTCAAAGGAAGCTAGATAAAATCAAGAAAAATAGACTTTTTTAAATAATTAAATCTTAAATAACTCAAAAACGACTTATTTTAGGTATAGGAACATGTATAGTTAAAAAGTAACAAATTGAAAAACCTTTTCATTAGTAAAATAAAAAAGTGGGTTTCCATTTAAAAAATGAATGATTTATGATAATTTTTTAATCGCTCAATGCCATGACAGCTACCGCCGCTATTATATGACATTTGAACAATTTAATTTTTGAAATAGATAGCCACATGTCTTCTTTTTATGTCACAGTGGCTGTGGTAATCACTAAATTTGACTTTTAGGCTATACAATTTTTTTGACAGGTAGTTTTCTTTCGTCCAAAAATTTTAAATATTTTTTTTTCAAAAACGGTTAATGTTAGGTATAAAGTGTTTAACATCCATATTCATAGAATTTTACAGAAAATTTAAGTATGTAATAAAAAATGGGGGTACCCATTTAAAATAAGAAAGTTGCTGTCAACTTCCGGTATTTCCGGAAGTGCTGCCATATTTGTGCCGAAATATATTTTAAATCTATAGATCTCGTTGTAAAACAATAATGTGCAAAAAATCTCCGATCTGGATATTGTGGTTCTCTAGAAACTTCTAATGTACGCTCAGCCTGGGACACTCTGTATATGTGTATCTGTATTAAATAATACAGATCAATCAAGTCTAGTAAGACAATCGGTCTAGTAAATACTAGACCGATCTGCGTATATTTATAGCAGCATTTCGTCAGAAGAATTTTGTTTTTTTAAGTAATAAACTATCATCGTAACGACAGTTATTTTATAAACGTCTAAGTTTACTGATTTCACTGAGATTTATGAAAAAAGTCCTTTGACTCGGGCACAGATACCGCCACGTTTTGGAAATAGCTCAATACGAAACAGAATTGAACGAGGCAATAGGAAACGCCAAAAAAAATCCCCCTACGCCCTCCTCACGAGTAGTTTTCTGGCGCTTTTAAGAATCGAAAGTAGGTCGAGGCAAACTGAGATGGGTCAAGACAACTGGAAATAAACCGGAATGCAACAAAGTTGGGCGACGAAATGCGACCTTGGCCTGCTTCGAAGAGTTCTCCGCATAGTGTAGAGGCTGTTTTACAAACCAAAAGAGAGAAGTATTGAGATTCGCAAAAGAAAATGTGGATATATAGGTCACACTTTGCTGAAACCTGATGGTAACATAGCGAAAGGAGCGTTAGAATGCCAATGCAAAAGAAAACAAAGACGATCGGCTTAAACATGGAGCCGTTCTAAATAGGATGAGCTCCAACAAATAGGGTCAATATGGAATATATAGCAAAAAGAACTGCCACAAATTGAACCCGATGGAGAGTTTTCACTAAAGCCCCATGCTCCGCGGAGGTGATATGGGATTCTATAAACAATAAAATAATAAATAACATAAAATAAGCTCAGAAAAGCACAAGAAATCCGTAAAATTTGAAATCCAACTCAAATTTGTCAATTGAACCGTCAAACAGAACTGTCAAAAATGGGGGTTAATGATGGGGCTATTCCATCTCTAATGTAAGGATACATGGATAACATTGTTACCAGTTTACTTAAAAATTATTGAAATGCAAATGAAATAAATTGTGTCAAAAACTTGATAATCTTTAGTCTTTCTACATCATTTTTTAGTAAATGGCGTCTAGAGATTGACCACGCCATAATTATCATCGATTGTCATTTACCAGCCGTCTGTGATGCCGGTTTTTTCGATCACACGGTATTTTATAAATAAAAGTATATTAGTGACGACTTAACGCACTACAAAAATATATTATTTGGTTAACATTTACCTAAAGTACAGGGTGTCAGTGTTTTGGCAGCGGTTTCATATACTATTTGTCCTACTTTAGATGATCCAGTAAAGAATATATAATCAAATTTTTCTTTTAACAGTTCGGTGGTTTCAAAAACTCCGCCAAGATATATTTGAAAACATTCCCTATCTAAATATGTCGGAAGTATTTCATACATGATTTTATTCGTTTCTGGTACTAATTCTGATGGTTTTAGGATGACTGTATTTCCACCTGCAAGAGCACCTAAAATAACAATTTTACTATGTTATGATGAAATTATTTATATTACTTTAGTATTTTATTAGTCATAACAAAAAAAAACAACATCTCTTGCATATGCAATGAAAAAATATAACCTAAAAATTCATCAATCATACATCTACAGATTGGTATACCGGGTGCGTCTCAAAAGTGACTTTGTTGACCCTTATAACTTTTTAATTTTTTCAGATAAAAACGAGATTTGGTATGTTAGTATATGACATAAATTAAGATTTATTGACGTATTCAATTCTTTTCGCCTAACTTCCTGTTTCACCGGAAATGACTACACATTTTGATTTGTATGTTTTTAGCCGACCATAGCAACAGGTATGGTAGGCTATTAAGATCGGCAAAAAAAAAGTTTTTTTAATTTCACTCAAAATGAGTTATTTGGGTCATAAATGACCTAAATACAAAATATTTTCATGGTGTCTGTCTGTCTGTCTGTAACACGATAACTCAAAAACCGCTAAACCGATTTTAACCAAATTTGGCACAAAAATACTGTGGCATCCGAGAATCTGGCCACTAGTTTTTGGTTAGGGTGGGTGGTTGGTAATGGGGTATGGTAACGCGGTTTTCAATTTAAGATTAGGAATAATATCTGTAACAAAATTTGTAATAACATCAAAATCAGTCAAAGTCGCAGTTTTTGAGATATTCCGTGTTTCCGTAGTCAAAATGACAGACCAATTTATCACTGTCACTTTATCACTGCATTTTGTCGGACAGACTTATAATTTGGAGTTTTAGTTTTTAATAGAAAAATATCGTCAAATTATAATAATGTAACCTGTATTACCTACTAAAGGACCCAACGTAAGTAATATAGGATAGTTCCATGCACCTATGATTAAGACAACTCCGTAAGGATCCTTATATATGTAGACTTCATCTAATATATTAACAAGTCTAAAAAGAAAGAGAAAAAAAAACAGTCATTTTGAATAATAACGAATAAAAAAATATTGCATTACCTTTTGTTTGGTTTATCAGGCTGGACCCAATTTTTTAATTCCATCAAGGTATATCTTAAATCGTTAGCTACCATTTCGATTTCTGATATATTCGTTTCTTGTTTATGCTTTCTAAGATCTTTATAAAGGGCATCTTCAATTTCTTTTGTGTGGTTCTCAAGAAATTTTAGTAAACCTAAAATATATATTATTTTTATTAATTAATATACAGGGTGTCACAAAGTACTTAAAAAGCTCAATATAAAATTTCTATTTTATATTTGATATCAATTAAACTTTTAGTCACGTAATCGAGGGCGTGATTTTTAAATTCATGTGCCGGTGAAGCTTAATCACGTGACTAAAAGTTTATTTGGTATGAACTATATGTACCCATCTGCACCTCTAAATTGAGTTTTAGTTGAAAAAGTTTTAGCTAATTTTACATTAACTTATCACTGTGTCATAGGTGCCAAAACTGTAGTAGGATGCAAGGAACTCCACAAGGTGGAGTGACCTCCCCCCTATTGTGGAGCTTGGTAGTGGATGAACTACTGGAAGCATTAACTCTAGCGGGAATACACTGCATAGGGTACGCAGATGACATAGTCATCATTGCACGGGGGAAACATGAAGGCACCCTGTGTGATATTATCCAAAGAGGACTCCGCATCGCTGAGAGATGGTGCAGGACTGTCGGGCTGAGTATTAACTCAGATAAAACCGCAGTAGTGCCATTCACCAGAAAGCGAAGTTTGAAAAACTTGAAAAGAATCCATCTAGATGGAAAGGAAATACTGCCATCACAGTGAAATATCTGGGAATAACCCTGGATAGTAAACTTCTCTGGAACAGGCATATTAAGAACATTACCAGCAAAGCCACAAAGGCTCTCATGATATGCAGAAGACTGGCGGGAAATAGGTGGGGCTGCGCCCCTAACATTTTGCGCTGGATGTATACCATGATAGTCAGACCCATGATTCCTTATGGAGCAGTTGCGTGGTATACAAAACTAGAGCAACGTACAGTAAGGCAAAACCTGTGCAAAAACACCAGAACACCTTATCACTTAGTGCGCCGAGACGACGACCATTCGTGCCATGAACCTTGGTACGTCTGATGTCGAGGATGGAGAGCTGGCCTCTGTGGAGCCGTCTCAGATACTGGCTTTTCTTAAAGCCCTGAGACTGTATTATGAGTTATAACTCGTTATAACTCAAGAAAGGGGAACACACAATAGATCTATAAGGTCGCGGTGATTAACTCCCCTCCTAAAAATTCTACATTCTACATCACTGTGTCAATTAATGAATACTATTTATATGATTTATTGAGCAGATTCAGTTGAAAATAATCATTATATGGGACAAAAAAGATAAAAACCGTGATTTGGCATAAAAAAAACTCATCTGTATTGCAAAATACAGAGCATATTCAGGGTGCTACAAATTCGAGGTACGAGCATTGGTATCTCGGTAACCGTAATAGATACGAACATGGTTAAATTGGGGCAAAGTTGCGCTTTAGGATGTTCACCAAGATGCCATCAAAAAATATTTTAAAATTTCAAGGATTGCTGAGTTTTTTAGAAAAAACTGATTTTTTTGAAAATCAATTTTATTTTTTCCTGAGGTTACTTTTTAGAAAATAAAAAAAACTAATTGCACATTCTCATCTCATAGCCACTTTATTAGGGCTATCTGGTAGTATTTTTAAATTTTCCAATTAGCTGATAATTTGTGAGATAGAGAGGTCAACTTAATTTTTTAAGATACGGACCTGCATTTTTTATTTCAGGTTTTGAAAGAACTTGGTCTCCTGAGTACAATGATATGTCACACTTAATATTTTTTTTTGTTTCGGACATTTGAACATAATTTATTTAAACTAATTTCTAGTCCGGCTCTGTTTTTTTAATATTTAATCTATTCATCGTTACAATATTGATAAGCTTTCAAACTTAACAATGACGTGGGGTAAAACATCGTATTTAATGTTCAAATGTTCAAAATATCGTAATCAAATGCAATAACTAAGAAGGCATTACTTGCCGTCATTTGTAAAAGTGAAATCAATACATCTCAACATTTACAATAAAGAGTACAAAATGCATTCGGAAGTATAAGGAGAAGTTAAGTTCAAAGAGCTATAAATAAGATTGAACAAAAAATAAATTTGTGCATTAGGGACGGTGGTAACCCTTTCGACCGAGAAGAACATTAGAAATTAGAATTAGAAACTAGTTTGTAGAAGTTACTTTATTTATAATTACGATTAATAAGATAGATATTATTAGATCGTACATAGAGATTTCAAATTCACTATAAAAAAAGTTAAAACTATTATCTTTAAATTGCTGACCTGGATATTATTTATTTGAATCTTTCAACTGGCTCGATTTTCTTTATTCAATGCTAATTAGCGCTGATCAATATTGTTGCGATGAATATAATCAGATTAAAGAATTTAAAAAATCGGAGTCGGACTTGAAATTATTTTAAATAATAATTAAATAGTTTTGTTATTGTTAAAGTACCCAAAACAAAAAAATATCAAGTGTGGCATATCATTGAACTCAGGAGTTCTTTCAAAACTTAAAATACAAAATGCAGGTCAGTATTTAAAAAAATTAAGTTGGCCTTTGTATCTCACAAATTATCAGCTAATTTGAAAATTTAAAAATTTTATTAGATAGCCCTAATAAAGTGGCTATGAGAATATGCAATTATTTTTTTAATTTTCTAAAAAATAACGACAGGAAAAAATAAAATTAATTTTCCAAAAAATCCGTTTTTTTCCAAAAAACTCAGCAATCCTTGAAATTTTTAAAACTTTTTTGATGGTATCTTGATGAACATCCCAATGAGGCAACTTTGCCCCAATTTAACCATCTTCGTGTCTATTACGGTTTCCGAGATATTAATGCTCGTACCACGAATTTGTATATAGCACCCTATTTATAATATAGTAGATATAAAGTCAATGCATACAAGGTCTATATTTTTGATTGTAAAAATATATCTACATACATAAAAGTAAAAGTAAAAGTAAAGATTTGAAGTTAACGTCTCCATTTTGGCTGCAAGGGTAATCTGGACGAGGCCTACTTTGTTTACGCGGAATCCGAACCGCGGTCCTCGGCCATATCATGGTCAATGGCCTACCGACTTGGCAAGTGTCTAAATCGACTCTTACTCACGAGATATCCGATCTCATCCGGACTCGAACCGGCGTGAATGAGCAGTGTGTGTCAATAGATTTTACACTTTTGCCTTTATTGGACAACAGCACGATACAGAGTTTCGAACCGGTCACCCGTCCATCCATTAGTATCGCCTTACGTCGCTTAACTTCGGTGTTCTAATGGGAACCGGTGTTTCTACGTAGCTAGGCCGCTGCCCACATACATAAAATATTTCCATTTAAAATATATAAAAAGTTGTCTATTTTGAAATTTCAATATAGGTTCTCACAAACTTAAAGCTTCATTCAGAACCTCGCAATTAGTAGAATAAATTAGTGGTTTCAATTACCGTAGAATTGTGTTCCTTTAATTTCAATGTAAGCATTCAGAACGTCAAAATTAGTAGTAGACATTTTCAATTAGTAGAAAAAGTTATAAAACTTTTAACTTCTTCACAAATTATGCTTTTAAATTTGCGAGAAATGTCATTTTGGCCCTTGATTATCTTCCCTCAAAAGAAATTGTGTATAGAAATCAAAAGTTGATTGTTTTATTAGGTAAATATTAGGCTGTCTATATGGATACAACTAACTAACGCAAAATGTTGCTAGGATATTCTATTAATTTTAATTGTTTCTTAAACATTTTGAATGATCGTAAACTAAAAAGTATAAAGTGTAATTGAAACCACTAATTTATTTCACTAATTGCAAGGTTCTGAATGAAGCTTAAATATGCAGAATATTTAGTCTAAAAATAGTTCAATGAGTATTAATAGTCAATTATTCTAAATTTAAATTATTTAAGAAATAATTGTGGCAAATCCATTGTGCGAAAAAAAGCATACACTTTTCATTCATAAATAACTAATAATTTCAGTCACTCTGTGTGTCCATGAACTTTTTTAATCATTATTTATAATTATATTAATTTGATAATTTTGATTAAACGAATGAAAATTATATTACCTTTTAGTTGATTTTTCCTAAATTCTAAAGTCTTAGTTCGTCCTGTTTTAAAAGCTTTCCTGGCTGTTCCAACATACTCCTTAACTGTTTTGGCTGTTGACATTTCTTCAATATTTACGATAGTATTTAAACTATGCACACCTTTTTTCTTTATTTCGTCTTGTTTGTTTAGATCACAGTTGATATTAATTTTGTCATTAGAATTTTCTGTTTCGGCTAGGATGTTATTTTTGTTTCCGTTCAAATTATCAAATTTACTGTTGACAATATTTACTGGATTGCTCTGGTGAGATTTAAATTTATTGAATTTTTGATTTGCATTTAGATCATTTGTAAATATTTGAGGAATTTTGTTCTCCAAATTGACTGTTCTAGATAATTTTACGGATTTTGAGTCATCATTATCTTCTTTCTGGTGAGCTGAATAGAGTGTGGGTGTGTATAGTTTTGTCAGTTGACTAATTTTTGTTGATACTTCATGACCCAGCTGATTTTTTCTCGTAGGGTCGGATCTAGGCAGGGGAGTAGGTACACTCATACCAGAATCTAGAGTTCCTGGCTCCTATTTATTTATTACTTCCTGAAATATTTTTACAATGTACAGGGTGGGTAAAATTTGACGCTTTTAAAGGGAAACACCCTTATAGGAGATAGACGAAAACTAATATTGGTGCCTAGAGCTCAATTTTTATCAAACAAATGGTGAAAACCGCACATCGATATCTGTTACCGTTTTATGGGGTGTTTTTCAAAAATGTGCATTTTTAACAAATCACTGTAATTTGCTATGGAAAATTTTGTATTTTTTTGAAAACATTTCCAAAGCACCTTTTTACGTAGAATTTAATAGTTTAAGTATATTTTTTTTAAAATTAATAATTTAAGACTTATCAACAGAAAAAAATATTTTTTATTTGGGACATTCTGTATATTTTTAATTTATTGAAAAAACTTAAAATTAGCTTTCCTAAAATATAGCACACTTGATATTTTGTTATAGTCCTCTTCGAAATACAGAATTTTTATAAGTTCGCAACTTTTGACTAGTAGGCTTTGGACCCCTTATTGATGATCTGCCCCTAATGGAACTCAAAACATATTTTTCCAGCAAGACGAGGCACCGCCTCAGAACGGTAAAGTTATCAGCAAATTTTTGCAGCCAATTTCAAGAATAATTGAATAGCTAACAAAAATCCCAGCCGTAGTGGATTTTTATCTTTGCTGAAGAATTGCTAAAGGTTCTTATTTTTAAACGGCCCGTATCATCTAGACAAGAATTAGATGCACTTATCGGTTATACGAGGGTATCTTCCACCCACACTGAGTTAATGAATTCCGCGAGAAATGTTCAAAAATGGTCCCGTCTGTCTGTAACAGCTATTAATTTTTATTGTTATTAGATATAGTATAATGGTGGCAATGTTGTTAAATATAGGTTAAATTGTTATAAAATTCTGCATCTCTCAATGCAAATATTATTTTCGTTTTAATTGCTGCTCACAATTTTTTTCCATTACAGCCGGCACCGTTCAAAGCCTACTTATTCAAAGTGGACGAATTTTTAAAAACTCTATATCTCCAAGAGGAAGCGAGCAAAATATCAAGTATGCTATATTTTTGGAAAGGTAATTTTAAATTCTTTTCAATTAATTGAAAATATACAGGGTGTCCCATATAAAAAAATCAAATTTTCTGTTGATAATTTTTAAATTATTATTTTAAAAAAAATTATACTTAAACCATTAAATTCTACGTAAAAAGGTGCTTTGAAAATGTTTTCAAAAAATACAAAATTTTACATGGCAAAAAAGTTACAGCGATTTGTTAAAAATGCCCATTAATAACACCCCGTAACTCCGAAACGGTAAAGTTTGTTTCATGTAGACGCGAATCACGAATTGCGGAAAGCGATTCGCCAAAAAATATTCGTGAATGAAATTGAATGAAGAATATTCGTGAATGAAACTGAATGTAATTTAGACCTATTTCATACAGTCGCGAATTTTTAGGGACATTTCATTTTTGCTCCACTGAAAGTTACCAAAAAAAATCATAACCTGAGATAACTTAATTTGTTTGTTATTCGTGTTTACGATCTTTATTTTATATTTCTTAGCATACAATATGAGTTTAAATTTGTTTAATGATTATAAATGTCGATTACGATTGTGGGATTGGAACAGAAGGCGCAAAATTGCCATTTACTTATTGTTAAAACGTAGAACTGAACGAGTTTAGAGGTCATTTGGGACATGTGAAATATTTTTTTCGTAAGCAACTAGGTGCTTATCGCAATTTAATTCAAGAAATGAGGACAAAAGATGAGAAAAAATTTAGGAATTTTCGTGCCTTCCAAATTTTAAATCATGCGAATCGCCAAAATCTTAAAATTTCTATAGCGCCGCCATGATCATTAAAATTGGACCAATGAGAGCAGTTTCGCAAAATCGCGATCCGCGATTCGCATTTACATCAACCAGGCTTAACAGATATCGATGTGCGGTTTTCACCATGATGTCTATGATAAAAATTGAGCTCCAGACATCGATATTAGTTTTCGTCTATCTCTTATAGAAGTCTTGTCCCCTAGACCACTTTGTTGTGTGTATTTGCTATACATTTCAATATCTTTCAAGATTTGAATATGCTATTTTCCCACTAATTTCCGTTGAATTTCTAATCTACAGTATGTTCCCGGATTGTCTTTACAAGAGGAAAAACTTTGTTATTATTGATATTTTGAGAAAAATGCATTCTTCATAAAAAAATTTGCTTGTTCTAAAATGGTTAATCCCGTTTTTACTTATCCAAATTTCCACACCGTTTTAGAGAAAATTAAGAAAAGTCCTAAAAATCAAAACGCATTACTATGGTTATTTCATTTCGATTTTATTATTTGATAGATGCTCTGATGGCTCTGAACTTAAATTAATATTAAGTTAATTAAAATTATATGAGTAACAATCTATCAAAGAATGAAAGCAAATTTGTATTACCATAGAAACGCGTTCTGATTATTAGGACTTAAGCATGATACAAAGAATACAAGGTATGATATTGCGCAGGTTGGTCGCTACGTCACAGGTGATAAACGGCACTATTGGTCGGCAAGCTCTGCTCGCCAATTTCAAATTGTCAAACAGATTGTGTCATCTGTAAAATTTGATTGTGTCAAAATATGAAAATAATTTTTCAAATGTCAATCTCCTAATTCTTCCCTATTTTAGTTTTTTTTTATTAGTGGCAATTGAACAATATGGATATATTTTTTGTATGGCGTATGACGTCACAGGTGGTATGCGCAAACTTAACGAAATTGGAGCCGCTATCGATCATACCTTGTTTTCTTTGTACCATGGGACTTAAGTTTCATTCAGAACCTCGCATTTAGTTGAATAAATTAGTGGTTTCAGTTATTGTAAAAGTTTGTTCCTTTAATTTCAATGTAAGCATTCAGAACGTCAAAATTAGTGGCAGACATTTTCAATTAGTAGAAAAAGTTGTCAAATTTTTAACTTTCCACTAATTATACTTCAAAATTTATTTGATTATACTTCAAAATTAAGGCGATCAACTCAGTATCAATCAATTCGAAATTGGTCAAAGAATGCATAGAGAAGCTGAATAAATTAGGCAAAGAAAACAAAGTCCTCCTACACTGGGTGCCTGCTCACCAAGGGATAGAAGGCAATGGAAAAGCAAATAATCTAGCTAGGAAAGGAGCGAACACTCCACTAACTGGACCAGAACCGTTCTGCTTTCCAAGTGGTAACCAACTCAAGGCGGAACTCAAGAACTTGGAAGATTCCATCCGCAACCTGGAATGGAAATCTTGCAATGATCTAAGACACTCGAAGAAGTTTCTGAGGGCTTATGATCAAGAAAAATCACAGATCTTCCTGGGTCTGAGTAAGAACAATCTTCGGATTGTCACGGGGTTTTTAACAGGACACTGTCTCCTCAATGAACACCTCAGTAGATTGAAAGTAAGAAGAAACGGCGAATGCAGATTCTGTGGGGAAGATGGGGAAACACCAGTACACCTCATCACTGAGTGAGCCGAGACGACAACTATTCGTGCCATGAATTTTGGTACGACTGATATTGGAGATGGAGAACTACCCTCTATAAAACCGTCCCAGATACTGGCTTTGGTCAAAGCCCTGGGACTGTATGATGAGTTATGATTCAAGAAAGGGGGACACAATGGATCTGTAAGGTCGAAGTGATTAACCCCCCTCCCACTCATTCTAAATTCTAAAATTCTACTTCAAAATTAGCGAGAAATGTCATTTAGGCCTTTGATTATCTTCCGTCCAGAGAAATTGTTGTTAGAAATCAAAAGTTGATTGTTTTATAAGTTAAATATTTTCTGTTGCTATTAATTTTAATTGTGTTTTTTAAACATTGTGAATATGATCGTAAACTAAAAAGTACAGGGTGTAATTGAAACTACTAATTTATTCCACTAATTGCGAGGTTCTTAATGAAGCTTTAGAAAAAAAATCAAACATATTTTCATGTTTTTTTTTTAATTTTCTCTAAATCGGACTGGATATTTGAAAAAGTATAAACGGGATTAACCATTTTAGAACAAGCAAACATTTATATGAAGAATGTTTTCTTCAAAATGTCAATAATAAAAAAGTTATTTTCCTCTTGTAAAGACAATCCGGGGACATACTGTATAGTGTATAGTACATCAATTATGGTAAATGCCCAATAACCGTCACTGTCCTAACTCTCGTCATATTCCCATATTTTTTAAAAAATTAAGAAACTCAGAGAAAAAATTCCATAATAAATAATTTTATATAGTTGTTTTATATACTGGAAACTTCTTCTTTATCTTATTTTAAAATCTTTAAATGGCTTAGATGCGCTATTTAATGTGCCCAATTTTCGTCACCCACTATTATCATTAATTCTACCCTAAATTATCAATTAAAAATAGGTGACAAGAACTGGATGTCTGCGACGGAATTTAGGCCATTAAACATGTAAGCCATATTAATATAGGCTTCCTGTAAAATACGTGTGATTTTAAAAATGCGAAATATTAGAGTTCGGAAGATATTTTGGACTATATTAAAAGGGATATTGTTACAAAAACTAAAAAAAAGAGGTGTTTATGATATACCTGATATTATATCTTAAACTGATATGCCAAAGTAAAACTAATTTCTCAAGTTAAAAGTTTATTTACTAATTAAAAAGTATTTATTTACTAATATGATGTTACTGTTTTTTTTTATAAAAATGTTTAATACTTTGTATTCACTAATTATTACTACACTATTATTTTTGAACTGATATCGGAGATATTCTTAATTAAAATTTTATTTAGTATGTTTATTTTTTTAATTATTTAATTGTTTATGTTTTATTTTTTGCAATGTGTCGCAATTCCTAAATAAACTTTTGTAAAAAATAATGTTTTTTGTGTGAAATAACACATATAAAGATATGACGAAAACTGGGACAAGTTGGTGACGATAAATATATAGGTAGAGAGGTGACGATATTTAGGACAATTGCAGTTTTTTTAGTTTTTCTTGAAAATTAACGAAAATATCGGTCAAGTTATTAAAGTTTTATTTAAATTTTAAATAAAAATATCCCCTAGTATCATATTTAATTTTCTTGTAAGCGTTATACTAATAATTCGGATTTTATAGCTAACTGAACTGAGATATTCCCTTAATGTGACGATAACTGGAACAGTTACCATATTTGCAGTGGACATCAATTTTTACAAGTAAACTATAAGAGTGCGTGACGTGAACTGTCAATTGTGGAAGATGGCAGGGTTCCAAAAGTAATAAATTTAAAAAAATAATTTTCCATAATTTTTTTTCCGGGAATTTTTCAGAAAGTGCAAAAGTTTTAAAAATAAATTATCATTAAAATATCTCATCTGGAAATAATTCGTCATCAAAAACATTCAAATTTGTATCTATTTTTTTTTAAGTTTTTGCTTTGTTATTCAATTTGAATAAAACACAAAACTATTTAAGGTTTCAAATGTGTTCATAGCTTAGTTAAAGGCTCACCTTAGAATATAGAATACCTAGATTTCTTAAATTATTTTATGTAATACTTACGTAAATTATTATAAAATTTCACATAAATTTAAATAACTCCAAGTAAAGGAAACTACACTTAGATGTAACCGAGTGCGTTTACTTTTACTTTCGAATATCAACTGAACATGCCATCCGGTAAAAGATTGTTGAGATTGGTCGGCTCTTCAAGGAATAATTGGTGAAAATAAATGGTGGTCGTGTATTTACGTAATACACCAACAAAAGTCGACCAAGTCTGTGAGGTATAATGGCCAGACTGCACAAGTGAAATTTCCATTATGATATTTAAAATGGCTCAGATTAGCATTTTAGGCTATAGAATTATCACAAATAAATTATACGGAAAAATATATTTTTTTATATATCTTTAATATTACTACTACTTTAATTTAAATATATTTTTTCTTTCTATCTGATTTCTACTTTTCATACAAAATTATGCACTGCATATACTACAGTGTGTGCCAAAAGCTGCAGATCAGTTTCAGTAAATCTCTCTTCTCGTCCTTTAAGTCTCAAAAGAGTATGGTGACGTCATCGTTGTTTTCCATCCTGTCTATTTTGTGCTGCTAGAGAAGCTTCTATATAGGGTCCGGCAATAATGCGTCGCGCATCTGTAGCTTCTAAAATAAAAAAACTTGAGAATTTTGTTTAAATGCAAACCTAAGGTATGTACAAGGATATATTTCAGGAAAATATTTTAACTTCTATAGGGTGGCTCAAAAAAGTGTGAGTGGATCGGCATGATTTTTTTTAAATGAATGCAGTATTATTGCATTTTTTGGCTTCCTTTCAGATCACTTAATATAATCCTGAGATATGAGTAAATATATTTCGATAATTTCAGAGGTATTAACAAATAAATAAAAAATATATATTTTTTAGCTTTTCTTAAAAAAAAAATTTAAATATACAAGAACTATCCTGAAATAAAAACTACATTAGGTATTTAGTTTAGATGATCATAAAACTTACTTTACTCTAAATATCGTAATCTTAAATCATACAGGGTGTTCAAAATTCTACGCCAAATTTTATAAATTATAAAATAATTTTTCTCTGTTTTTTTTTTAAATGGAACACCCTGTATATTATTTTTTTATTAGATGGAGAATTAAAAATAAACATTTTTTGTATTGTTTATAACGACAATTTGACTCGAAATACCAAGTGTGTGGTATCAAATTATTCGTAAACAAATGCTTTTCCAAATAAACTCACCAGCAGGGTTCGGAAAACTACATGTTACTTTTAAAAACTACATAAACTACATTACATGTAGTTAATGTAGTTTAGGTAGAGGATGTAGTTTATGTAACCTATGTATGTAACTTTCAAATATCAAAGGTTTGAGGTGAGGTTATAATAAGTTAAAGCTTTAAAAACACATAATGTGTTTAAGAAAACAGAAGAAATATGGCTTTAAATATAATATTTACATCATATTATCTCTATTTCACCTCATACAAAGGAAAATTATTCAGAATATCAATACATAGTTTATTAATGTAGTTTTCATGTAGTTAATGAACGGGAAAAGCCGTAGTTTTTGAAAAAAAACTACACGTAGTTAATCAGGTAAATTACGTCTTAATTAACTACTTCCGAACCCTGCTCACCAGCAAAAAAAACCGGCCACTAAAAACTAGTCCTAATTTCAAAGTTGTATTTCTGGCGAACCACTCAGTAGATTTTGATGATTTTTTTTTAAATTGTAAATTAATTCCTCCCTTTTTATTCCGAATTTATTTTGAGCATATACAGGGCACAACAATAAGACGAAGTTTTTTGCCCGAACTTTGTAACATCCTGTAGGGTGCAGCAGCGGTAGTAGCTATTACCCTTCTATTACTAAATTAAATCACATTGTAGCCTCATCTTTTGTGAGCATTTTCTTTTTTTAATCACCACATTATCTCTTTTTATATTGGAGACATGCTGTTTTAAAAGGAACGCCTCTGAAAAATTCAGAATTCATCTCGGAAAAGGCAGAAAGTTTTATGTGTAAATAATCAAGGCAACATAGGCGAAAAGGGATTTATGAGTATTTGCAATATAAGAAAAACGGTTGCCAAATTAAAAAATGACATTATCTGTAACGGATGTTGCTCGTATTTTGGCTTTAATTGAGGATGGCCGAAGTCAACGTTATGTCTCCGATACCCTGGGCACAGATTAATATTGTTTGTGCCCTGGGTATATTTCGAACAACAGTCCAGGATGCCTGGAATCGGTATATGGAAACGGGAAATTTCACCAGACGAGTGGACACTAGATATTAGTCCCTTAAAATTTATTTACCTTTTTAGTATTGAAAATACTTCTGGCCGCGTTTATATGGGACCCATCTTTGAAAAAACGACATGCTAGAAGCAACATGGGTTCAATAACCTGCCTGTCAACACGTACTTAAGTTGAATAGGGCAAGGTCGAGTCTGGACCGGCGGATAAAGAAAGCGATATTATTTTAAAAGAAAATATGTCAAGGCATGGGTTGTTAGGTACAGTTTGGCTATTTAAATCTAACTATTTCCGTATGAGAAACAAGGGCAAATTATACGAGAAAGAGCAGAATCACATAAATAATAAATTTAGACTAATAACATATTTTTTTTATATGATTATAATTTTTTTAATTATCAACTTAGGACAAAGAATGGTTTCCACCGCCAACAGGCGTTAAAACAAATGAATCCAAGGCGTTGTCAAATATTTATTGGGATAAGTTGATAGTTTTTACCGTTTGAATATTGTATAATTCAATTACTATACACTAATTAATTAATTTTAAATGTATCTAAATAGGCACTTTAATAATTGAAAAATGGACATGAGCACTTCATAGAGTATACCAAATATGTAAAAAAATTCCAATAAAAAACCACAAATGGCACATTAAAATCTGCATTATCTGAAATCAAACTATAGATACCTAAACGGCCAATCAGCCAGACAACAGTCACAAGACGCCGACATCGATAACGCGATGAGCAGTTTTTAATAATTATTCCGAGTTAATACTTCAAGTAGCATTCCTTCAAATAAATTTTATTTAAGTATTGTTAATACATATAGTCATATTAATGATTATAGCCTGTATGATTTCTAAAATAAAAAATCCAGCGTGTTTTTATCAGAATAATTATTAAATGATGTATATAATAGTTAATATTTATTAACTTCGTAAGTGTTATTTTTTAATATAATTATGGATTTAATAATATAGAAGGTGCCCGGTGGCGTAGAGGTACAGGCTCTCGTCTACCAATCTCAAGGTGTGGGTTCGATTCCCACACCCGGCATTTCATCAGCCGACTATTTTTATTAAAATAAAAATAGTTTGTGTACCTAGGTCGACTCAGCCTTAAAATGAGTACTTGGGATTCACAATCCTGAGATAATAATAATAGGCGGTTGAAGCGTAGTGCTAGCCACATTACCTTCCTTGTATACCGAACGGCTCTAGTATAGCAAGCTGTACCTTGCTACTCCCAAGGCGTTAAACGCTATATACGGGAGCTATTATTATTATAATTAAATAATTATCTTAAGTTTAAATTGTGGTAAACTTGTTATGAGTTTCAATCATTTATATTTAAACTCTTAGGGAAGGCAATATAGATTTTAGGCAGAAGAACTCAAGGGAGGACTGTGTAATTAATAATTAAAATTTTACATTTTTTTTTACTTGCCATTTTTCTTGTCTTTCACGTTGCACGTTCACTCTTCGTTGTGTCACACACAATCTGAATTTCGGATATGATGCAGAACTGATAAATTAGACCAAATATATTAATTGCAAGGTATGCAAAAAAATATTTTTGTTAATTTTGCAAATACTAATAAAGACATGCAATAATTTAAAAAAAATTGACGTGAGATTACTTCATAATTCTTGAAAGTCTTGGATGATAAAGATTTGAATTATTATAGGTCTGTTTTGTTTAAGAAGCTAACAAATAATTTTAAAAACTCAACTATCAAAATATAATGGTAGAAAATGTTTAAAAGCATGTATAATATTCCATATTAATTGGACATACTGAATGTAAACTAGGAATACATAGTTGCTGCAGTCGATAATATATTTTGCTGCTTATTTTCCTCATAACAAAAACCGTCAATACCGCTACTCACATTATGGGCACTTTTTTATACTTAAATATCTTAATGATGTTTAAAAATACATATGTAGGTACATACTATAAGTAGTTGTTGTCGCGGTTTTTTTATTAGGTATGATGAAAAGAAGCTGCAAACTAAATTATCGTTGGAGCCAACGATACTTTAATTTATTTTTATCTACAGTAACTATGTAAGGGTTCAAAATATGCCTATACTGTGAGGCAACTCAATTCGAGTATAAATTAACACTTACATTCAAAGTATCTTCTTGGTCTACCGGCACCCCGTTCATCCTTATTCCATAATTTCTATAAAAAATAGTATGATTTATAACTTTTAATTTTTATTGAGAAAATTGGTGAAATTTTGTTGTACGGCAAATTTAAATTTATGAGCCCTCCATAAATTTACACCGTAAGTTCGAATATTAGTTAAACCTAGGAATACCCAGGTAATAGCCGGAAATATGCAAAAGAATGGGTGAATTTAGGTTAGATTAGAATTAGGATTTAGTTTGTTTTTATTATTAATTAGGTTTTGAATTAATAAAAATATAGACCTAATCTAAACTTAACCGAAACTGACCCACTTTTTGGTATATTTCGGGCTCCTATGTGGGCAACTCTACGTTTAACCAATATTCGGGCTTTTACGGTAACATAATACTCATTCTGATTGGTTTAATCTGGCTCCATAACAAAACTGTGGGTTCGAAGTGCTATTGCAAATTAATGCAATTAATTCTATGTATACACTTTCATAAAAGCCATCACGATAAAAAATTAAATATCAAAATTATTTAACGTTGCGAACGGTTCACTTGTTCACTATACGTATCTGGAATATATTTGCGAATGGCGATCAGCGATACGATGGTGCGTCCAAACCTGGGGAGACGAGCGCGAGACATTCCAAATTCGCTGTGTGGACGAGTCTCGCGAGAGCGTCGCGAGTCAACCCACGGAACCTCGTTGCTATCCGTCCCC